CGGGACAAGGAGCAGGGGCTGCTGCAGGCACCTGCAGGCCCAGCAGGGCACACTGCTGCGGGCTCCTCCTGTAGTGAGTGACCTGCAGGGCCTCGTCCCTGTGCGGCGCCCGCGGGTTCTCCACGAAGCTGTTCCCAGAGGGATCGTCCAGGATCTGCAGGACAAGGAGCCCTGAGGGAGCTGCCCTCCCTGCAGCTCCCCCTTGCCAGGCCTGCCCTGCCCTGAGCACTCACAAAGGTGAAGGGGGAGCTGACTTCCTTCAGCTGCCTCAGTTTCCCAATGAACTCGTCTATCTTCCTGGCCACCTCCGGGTCTGTTGCCTGGAAGGAGACATGGAACCGCAGAACCCTTAAAATGGGGACACCCCAAAGTGGGGCTCAGCTGCTGGGGACAGTCAGAGGTGGCTGTGGCACAGCCAGAGCTGTCCCCAGCAGCCCTGGGTGCACCAGGGGATGGACACCCCAAGCACTCTCCATCCCCGAGGAGTTCCCCTCTCCATCCTTACCCTGCGGGCGGGCTGGTCCTGCTCCAGGCCTGCCACAGCTCTGTCAATGATGCCCTCGATGGTGGTGAGCACTTGGCAAGGCAAGAACACAGAGCTGACAACACCATGAACAGACCCCAGGGACCCCCTGGAGCCCCCCAGGCACTGCCCCATTCACCCACCTCCCTTCTGGCTGAAGGCAGGCACCTCAAAGTCCAGCTCTGGGATTCGAGCTGAGGCACAGTCGGTCTTCACCACCTCCCTGTTCATGTCCTGCACAGAGCAGGGAGCAGCCTGAGCCTCCCCTGGCACACAGGGGGACCCCAGACCCATTCCTGCAGGGATGTGCAGGTGCTGGGCCTCAGCAGGGCAGGGCAGGGCAGTGCCCACCTGGCGGGAGGAGACAGCCAGGGTGTAGCGCACGCCCTGCTCCTGGATCCTGCCCGCTGCCTGGATCTCCGTGTTGGACCAGGAGCAGCTGGGGCACGAGAAGGAGCTGACAATGATCTCCTTGAAGAAGGGGATCCTGGTGAGCAGGAGCCGGGTCACTCCCTGCGGGGGCAGCGAGGGGTTCATGGGAACCCGAGCCTGGGGCCATGGCCGTGACAGCACCTCTGGCATGGGCAGGTCCCTGCCCCTCCCCACAAACCTCCCCTCACCCCCCAGGAGCTCCTGGAAACCCCTCTCAGTGCCCCCTGTTCCGAGAGTAGCTGTGGCCCCCAGCAGTCCTTCCTCGCTCCTGCCCCCACTGGAACCCGCCAGCAGC